AAATAATAAAGTATAGAGACTTCGGAGTATATGCCAAAGAGTGGTATGGCTGGATTAAATGGTAGATCAATTTCTAGTTTTTTTAAGGAATCTCCACACTGATTTCTGTAGCGGCTGCACCGGTCTGCACTGCCACAAGCAGTGGATGAGAGTTTCCCTTTCTCCACACCCTCACCAGCATTTGTCATTGTTTTTTTGGGTTTTGGGGGGTGGGAGATCTTAGCCATTCTTAGAGGAGTAAGATGAAATCTCAAAGTGGTTTTAATTTGTATTTCCCTGATGATTAAAGATGGTGAACATTTTTTAAAAGTATTTCACAGCCAGGGCTGGAGAGATGGCTCAGCGGTTAAGAGCACTGACTGCTCTTGCAGAGGACCCGGGTTCGATGCCCAGCAGCCACATGGCAGCTACAAACAGTCCTTAACTCCAGTTCCAGGGGAATCCAAAGCCCTCTTCTGACCTCGGCAGCACTGCACAACACGGGTACACTCACATACAGGCAGGCAATACACTCATACACATAAAAAAAATAATAATAATAATAAAATATTTTTTAAAAAAGTATTTCATAGCCATCTGTGTTGCATGTTTAGAGAACTCCCTGTTCATCTCCTTGCCCCAATTTTTAATTGGGTTGTTTGTTTTTTTGAGGTTTAGTTTTTTAGCCCTTTATATATTTTAAATACTAATCCTCTGTCAGAGGTATAGCTGGTAAAGATTTTTCCCATTCTGTAGGCTGACTCTTCACTTGAATGATGATATCCTTTGCTGTACAGAAGTCTTTTCACTTCATGAGGTCCCATCTGTCAGTTGTTGGACTTAATGCTTGCCCTATAGGAGTCCTTCAAAAATTCCTTTTCTGTGCCTAAAAGTTTCAAAGTATTCCCTACTTTCTCCTCTATCAGATTCAGGACATTGAGTCCTATGTTGAGGTCCATGATGCATTTGGAGTTGAGTTTTGAAGCTGTTGACCAGGCTCCAGTGCATGAACCTACATCAAAAGGCATTTGGGGACACAAACCTGACACAATAGCCTTTAATACATTTATATATTGGAGTACAGGAAATTCAGTGGAAGATTAGTAAAGGGAGTACAGATACAGGAAACTGAATGAAATTCACAACAATTTAATAAATAGGGGAAAAATAAATAAGAAGTTAAATAAAAAACACTATCTTCTCTTTGCTAAGTCCTTATATTTCCCAAAGCTTTTTTGTATTATCTCATTTTTACTTTTATTTTTTGGCAGTGCTGGGACTTAAACCCAGGGCCTTGTACATGCTAGGCAAGAATTCTAACTTTTTAAAAAATTTATTTCATTATTTTACTTGGTGTGTGTGTGCGTGTGCACTCACACCACAGGATTCCTATGGAGGTCAGAGGGCAGCTTAGCTTGTGAGACTCAGTTTTCTCCCTCCACCTTGTAAATCCCAGGGATCAAACTCAGGTCAACAGGCTTGGTAGCAAGCACCTCTACCTGCTGGGCTATATCACCAGCCTTGCCCTATAACTTTTAATGGAACTATTCAACTGCTATTTTGTTGAATGCCTTCATGCCAAGCCAGCTACTACACAAAATCCTAAAATCCATCTACCTACCCCCAAAGGACAATTTCCTTTAACAGGCCATCACTCCCCAATGCCTTTGTAAACAAGTAACCCATTTTCCCCAATTTGAAGGAGTAGGGATCCATTTTCACAGGCAGTAGCTTTTTATAAGTAGTTTTAAGATGTGATGTCTAAGTTGATGACACAACATTTTAGTCACAATGGTAGTTCTTGGGGACTGGCTAACAACTTGTTTGGCTGTGTGATGCTAAATATCTGAGGTGGGTTTCTCCCAGTACATGCCCTGTGTTAAGGTTAATAGCAGGGCTGCTGGCTCCCTCTTCGAGCATCCATGCTCATCTGTGGTAAAAGACCTGAATTATTAGTGGAGCTCACTGCCACCCAGCACAAGAGTCTCTACTTCCAAGCCTCTTCTGCAGCTAGCCACACCTCTGTGACCATGTTCTGGTCAATTAACACTAGAAGGCAGGTTAAACGGCACCTCTGGGAAACACTGGGACTGACTCAGCTACAGGAGGCGTTTTCTGCTTTACCTCCTCCTTCAGACCTGTGCTTGGATCAAATAACTGACATTCTCAGGACCATCTTGAACCAGGAGATAGTGAGGATGCAGGCCAGGTACTGAGACTAAACAAAAACAAAAACAAACAAAAAAACAAAAACAAACAACAACAAACAAACAAACAACAAAAAACAGGCAACTGGGATTCTGATGACACCACAGAGCTGCCCTGAATCCTTTCGACTTCTTTTCAAAGACATAAACCCATACCTGATTTCACTGATTTTCACTGTTGTTTTGTTTGTTTCTTAGGTTACACAGTCAAACCTGAACTTAATGACAATTACATATTAACAGAGGATACAAGATCCCATACATATCTCACTGCCAGTAAACAGCAAGTAGGTGTTTCAAGTAGGTGGCCAAGACAATAAAACATCTTAATAAGTCACTTTTTACTAAGACTTTATAACAGCTTGATGTCTATACGACTTTCCTCTTCCCACACAGATGGCCATATTCTTTTCTCTATTAGTTCAAAGTCAACTAACATGATTTCCACTATTTTGCCCTCACGTAACAGTGCCCAAATCCAACTCCCTGGGACCCTTAACACAAACTAAAGAAAACAGAACAGTGTCCCCAAGTCTACCAAACACGAAGAAGTCATGACCCCCAAAGTGGAGACAGTGTGATAGGAACAGTACTGCATCAGGGTACTGGTACAGACAACCCCAGGCAAACACCACAAACCACCGCCAAGGAGCTGCCATCTCACAAGTAAGACGCACAGCCAATACCAGCATCAGCACTAACAGTGCTGTCCTGTGTTACATCTTGACAAAGTCCTTCAAAACACACCCCATGTGGAAATCCAATCCTGCTGCTGAAAGCTCCTCACTTTCAAAGAGAGAACCAGAATGCTGCTCCTGGCAAACTGGCACCCAGTGCTCCTCCCCTCTCTGACAAACAACAGAACCTCGGCAAGGCAACGTTTCCTTCTCACAAGTCTTGTTTCCAAAGCAATAATCTTATAGAAGGTAAAACCATGTATGCGCAGCTTGAAATTATATTCAAATTTAAAACTTTATCAAGGAAAAAATAAGCTTTTACCATTCCCCTAGCCGAGCCTTCTCAATGGGCTCAATTCCAGCACTCTGTCTAGCTTTCCCAGAATCATAAGGATGCAAGAAAAAGGGAAAGAAAAAAAATTCAGCTTCCACATCACATTTTCTACCAGCACATGGCTGACTCTTACCCTACCACTCAAAGCAATCTCTGCATTAGAAATAGTCACTAAGAGGCTGGAGAGATGGCTCAATGGTTAAGAGCACTGACTACTCTTGCACAGGACCCAGGTTCAACTCCCAACACCCACATTGTGCATAACAACTGTCCATAGCTCCAGTTCCAGGGGATCCGACACCCTCTTCTGACCTCCATGGGCATTGCATGATATAGGTACATGCAGGCAATACATGCATACACATACATGCAGGCAATACACGCATACACATAAAAATAAAATATTTTTAAAAATATATATTCACTAAAAATTTCTATTTGTGGGACTGGAGAGATGGCTCAGTGGTTAAAAGCACTAGCTACTCTTAAAGAGGACTTGGGTTTGATTCCCAGTACCCACGTGGTGGCTAACAACCATCTGTAACACCAGTTCCAGGGGATCCGACATCTTCTTCTGACCTCCATGGGTATTGCATGACATGGGTGCACTTATACACATGCAAGCATAACACTCAAATGCATAAAATATTTTTTTAATTATAAAAAAGTTTCCATTTGCTTAATATATTTAAAGTACAAATTTCAGAGGAAGGATGAGAACCATAAAATCACAGCAAAGAGAAAAAGAGAAGCCACAATTTTACTTCATGTAACTCAAATCCTTCATACACCAGTGAAGACCTACCTAATTGATCACAGTCTTGCAAAGAGGAAGTTTCCTATTATTAAGGGGCAGAGGTACAGGTGAAAGAGATAATAGTAAGAACCACTTTAAAGTAAATTGCAAATTATAATTCACATACACACACATACACATTACATATAG